CCCCAAAACCCCAAAACCCCAAAACCCCAAAACCCCTGAAGAATGAGGAGGGGTTGTATAATATTTATAAAAAATGAGGCTTAGAAATGGGTCGTGGATGAGGAGAGATGGATGAGATGAGGACAGAAGAGGGATAGGAAGGATAATAAGGGGTTTAGTGGGAGTTTTAGTGGTAAGGAAATTGGGAAGAGGTGAAAGTAAGGGAAGGAGAGGGTTTAGAGGGGTTTGGAGATTTGGAGATGATTTTTGGAGTGGTTTTAAGTGGGAGTTGGGTTTTGAGATTTATTTGTAAACATTTGTTTGAATTAAGTTTTAGGGCATGTTGATGCTTCCGACCATTATAGCGACATGTGAAACTGACAAAGCACAGCCCGAGATAGCGGTTTATGAAGATGAATTTACTACAGCAGCTGGACCTTATACTATATCCAAAGTATCATATGCAGCTAATATGAGTGCTTTGTTCACTTTTCAAAGCTTGACTGCAAACACTTTCACAGTGAACAAGTTTTATTCGCTAAATCATACATTGAAATGGAGCAAAAGTTATTCAATAAACTCCACTGCTTCTCAATATGGAATAACCTGGGATGAAGCCAACTTGTATGCAATAGAAGACAACACTTTGAATGATGAAGTCTCTATAATTCTGATGGAGCCTGAGGAAGGAAATATTACTGGAGTCTATCAGTTGTAAGTTACGCCAGAGAAAGATCATTTGAAATAAATTCGCCCGAAATTTTCATCACTTCATTTAATATTAGTATTGAAAATTTGAGTGAATCCTCTAAACTTTAATTTTTGAACTTCATTTGGGATAGCTTGTTTGTTTAAAAGATCATTTGAATTTATAAATAAAGTAAGCTTGAAATGAACCCTTTTATTAAGATGTTGTGGGCACTAAAATTATGAATAACACAATTGTAAAATCTTTAACTTGAGAGAGTATCAAATTCTACATCATTTTTGAAAGTAGGTCAAATAGTATTGCAGGAATTCCTTGATTTTGCCAACTTTAATTCTTTCTATTTTAAAGAATTTTTAGTTTGATTATTGAATAATCCTAATGTTTCATAGTAGGGAATTAGTCTATATGATCCCAAGCAGTTGCTAAGCAGCTAAATTCCCACTTACTGAGATCACTTTCTCATCCCTGCACAGGAATTATTTAGAAATTTTGGCTATTCTATAGACAAGAAAGCCTCTATTTGGTATTTTTTAAGATTCTTTTTCTTAGATTTTGCACAGATTAACTATTAGCATCTCTCCTCTGATAAAGTTAGAATATCTATTCTATATTATATTAATCCAAAACGGCAAGACACTCTTCATCAATAATAATCAGCTATGTATCTATATAGATGTCTGCCTTCTCTATCCGTTCACCGTAGTTTCGACGAAATACCTCCCAGATGATTTGAACTCTGGGGCATAGCATAGCTACCCTTCCAGTCTCCTATGGATTTTCCCATTAATCTTTCTACTGAGATATCTCTCTGAATGGTCTTTCTAGCCTTTCACCCTAATGTTTTTCTTCCATCATTTCTGAGCAGAGGCTAATGAAATTGAATTCTTACTGTGGAAAGTCTCCTCTGCTCTATATTTAATCCTAGTACAATTCTTTGGATATTATGGCTAATCAATCATTCAGACAGCCTTAGACACTAATTTGAACTAAGAAAAGGAATTAAGTATTAGTTTACACTTTCCCGTAGTTCTAAATTTTGGTGAAATTCAGTCAATACAGCTGTTCTTGAAAATTAGAGTGTTTCTAACATAGGTATTAAAAGATAATTTTATTTTCATCAATTTTCCAATAAAAATAATTTCTTGGACAATACTTTGGTTCACTCTAATTGAAGTTGAGTTCGGATTTACAAATTAATCTGCTTAAATACTCACTCCAATTTAGATCAGGGATCTCAGAAATCTCTAAGTCAGATTCAAGCCCTCCTTTCATTTACTTTGATGCTAGAAATGGAACAGATGGGAATAGGATATTATGAAAGTTTACATTATATCTGAAAAAATTCAGATGAACAAGTCTATCCATGCTCACAGGACCTCTTCTAGCGATAAACTCTATTTACCTGAACGAGGTCTTCATTGTTTCCCAGACTACATCATATTTATACATGATGAAATTAACCCTTTGGACTCCAAATGCTGTTGTTGATTGGGCGAAAAGAAAGTCTATTGCATCAACTAATGTACTTACTGTTTCTTCTGCTTACAGTGAAAAGCATAAGGTTATCTACACCTTTGTTTACTCTAGCATTGAAAAGAAAGGAATTTTTCGTGCTATTTCTGTTATAACAGGAGAAGTCAATACAACCAATACTTATAAGTAAGCCATCAATTCCTAAATTTAGGACTAAAATTGCTGTTGATCCTCCTAACTTCATGGTTGTGGGAAATGAAATGGTTCATCTTATCCATCAGAATCATACAGTAAGCATTTCTAGTAGTATTATACTTCAGCTAATCTATTATGACATTACAAATGTGTTTAATTCGTCAATCGTTTAGGAAGAATGTGGGTTCTATGAGTGGGTTTGAGAAAGAACAGGGTGATGAATTGGAGCTAGCTGAGCAGTTAATAAAAATACTACTTGTCAAGGAAATTGCTCAGGCACAGGTATTTTTGGGAATCAGATATCAAGGACTTGAATTCAAACATGCACGTTCCCTTGCAAGTACAATGTTACGAATTACAACTATACAATATAAACACTTTTGACATTACTCAGAATAATTTCAGGAATATCACAGTTTTACCTCGGAACCAGAGTTTTGGCTCGATGGTTTATGAAACAAAGGAGGATAGGTAAGATTGAGATATTAAGATGAAGGTCACCTTTGTATCTAGGTTTGTGCTAGCAGGAATTTTGAATCTCATGGATGGGGTTACCCAAAATATTTCAACAAGACTATACAAGATAAATCCAAGTACTTCTGGATCATAAAGCATAGATTCTTTGGCATGTGACTACTTCTTTGACTCATTTGGTGTGGTTGGAATGGATCAGATTCAATCTCAACTGCAAAATGATGCAGATTATTTCAATAAGACTGTTTCATATAATTTCCATGACTCCACAAAGATGCCAGATTACCCTCCTATCACCCATACCTACAATGTAAGCTATCTTCTCCCAAATCTGACTGGAAATAGTTCAAGACCAAGAATGAGTCAGAGATTTACTGCAAGACTAAAAACTTCACAGCCTTGGACTTGTTCGAATTAACCAATGTAAGTGACTACAAGGACTCTTGGGGTTATAGTATGTGAAGACTTTGGAAGGGTAGATTTGTCCAACCTTGTGAATACTTGGAGCATCATTCTTGGTCAGAAAGTTTGGGAAAATTAATATTTTCATTTTTATTCAAAATTTTGTTTTTAAAAATGCTGGATTTGAATGTTGTTGTAGAAATCAATAGGAGCTAATGTGACATGAAGTAATAGTACTCCTAATAAAGTGGAATCAGTTTCTGTTGCGTTAGAAGATGGAAGTGCAAAACCGAGTTGGGTCACGTTTTCTAGCTCAACTCGTGAGATGAACATATCTGCACCTGAAACAAATGATTCAGATAAATTTGAGTTATTATTTAAAACTAAATTAAAAGGAAAGACAGAAGAAATCAATCAGTATTTTACAATTACTATTAATGACACTCCTCCAGAGCCAGAACCAGAGCCTAAACCAACGCCGGAACCAATGCCACCTCTGATAGAATTATCAGAGCAGGCTTCTTTTTGGGCAAAAGTAATGGTTTTTCTTGCATCAGCTATTAATATTGCAAATGCAATGCTAGGTTCAGCTTCTCCAGCTGCCATCTGGCAAATGATGAATCAAATCCAACTTTTAAAATTACTGCTTCTTACTGGCGCCTACCTCCCATCTGAAGCCAAAGAGTTCTTTAATGGAATGGAGTTCATGTCATTCGATTTCAGCTTCATCCCATTTGGAAAACTTCCTGGACTTGGATACTCTATTGATTTCATCGACTTCGATCAGAACTCTCAGGAACTTAACGACTTTGGACTTGAATCAGGAAGCTCTCTAGTAAATAACCTATCTTTCATTTTATTCCTGATTTTTATTGCAATAATCCACTTCATCTTGATCTTGGTGATAGCCATGTCAGCTGATGAAGGAAGCTGTTGAGTCAAACTTTTCAACTGTATCACAACTAAGCTGAGAGCGATTTTCACTTACACCATTTACATCAGAGCATTGCTAGAGGCATTTGTGTTGTTGGTAGTGTCATTATTTGCTGAGTTTTACTCAACAAGCAGCCAAATGCCCATTTTTAAATTGATATCCCTGGTGTTTGCTATTGGAATGATGATTAGTTTATCGGTTCTGGTCATACTATTTATCAGGCATTTACGAAACACAGATCCTGAAGAAAGAGATGAAGGTCCTTACAAAGAACTATACTGAGGAGTCAAAGAGTCCAAGCTTGCGATGACCTTCAATTTATTCTTCTTACTGAGAAGATTGCTGTTCGTTTTTGTGCTAGTTCTATTGCAAGCTCTACCTTTGGTGGTAAAGTTATCTCTGATAATGGTTCTCGAAATCTGCTATATTGGATTTGTGGTAAGTCTCAACATTTAAACGCTCAATATAGATTGTGTATATCAGGCCATTCGAGAAAATTGATTTAAATGTTGTGGAGCTTGCTAATGAAATATTCTTTAGTTTCTTCCTATGTAGCTTATTTTCCTTTAACCAGGAGCAAAATTGGACTACTAGTTTCATTACAATTTATATCTATGCATTAACTGCGAATAATTTCATAGTAGTTGCAATATCATTAGGTAAGGCTGATGTTATTATAGAATAAACTTCTTTAGGTTTTAAATCTGTGGCAATGACAAAGGGTATAATTAAATTAGTCCAAAAGTACAAGAGCAAACCAAAGATAACTCCAGTAAAAATGTTATAATTGTATAGACAACTACTAATCAGATAGATATGGATACTTTTGCGAGAAATCGTCCACACTCAATTTCAAATTGAAAGCTTCCAACTTCGAAGGTATGTTACTTGCTCACCTGTAGTTGGGAAGCTCTCCATACTCTGCAAACATGAAGAGCTACCAGAACTCATGTAAGGGCTTAGTAATCAGTTTAGCAATTGGAGCCAGCGATGTCAGACTAGGACCCAATTTCTAGAAAAGATCTAAATATCTCAGATAAAGATTCTATCTAATTTGATCTCTCTGGGGTTTTGGGGTTTTGGGGTTTTGGGGTTTTGGGG